AGAGTGCAATTCCAAGTTTATAGTGGAGTAACTATTGGAATTAATAGAATTAATTAATTAATTAAAGTGTTTAATTAATTATTAATTTTATTGGAGCTCGGGATTATAGGTCCATATGTCCCCGCGTCGTCCTTGTAATTCTACCAGACACAAAGGGTAAAAATGGGAATTTTAGAATTACAGAATTCTAAAATTAAATACTTAAAAAATAATTAATTGAGAATTAATTATTATTTAAATAATGTGATTATTTAAATTTGAATTTGAACACATCTAGATTTATCCATTTAAACTTATTTGATAAGTTGTTCAATTTAGAATTCAAATTAATTTAAGTTTGACTTAAATTCGAATTTGAATTAAAATTGGACTACGGGATAAAAGATGATTTCTCTTCCTTCCCTATCTGATTTGGCGCCACACACGTAGGGTTAGAAAACCCTAAGTGTGGCCGGCCACCTTGTGGAGAAGGGGAAGAGATTTTTTGTTCCAAATTCAAATTGAAGATAAGAATTTAATTTTGTTTTGAAGTTTGACTTCGACTATTTAAATATGAGAATGATAGAAAATTGTGGACACAATTTTTGAAACATTATTCAGCCCTAAAATAAGTTGGTGGCCGAATTTCTCAATAGCAAAAGAGAGAGAAAATATTTTTCTCCAAAAATTCCACATCGTGCATGCATTGGTGTTTATGGAAATTCGAGTGTTTAAAAAACCTGTTTTGTCTCATGTGTGCCCACACACACGTCTACGTGGAATCAAGGAATTGACGTGGAAGACTTTGGTATTCTAAACACAAACTTGGAGTAAGGATTGTTCGTGGTCAAAGAATTCAAGTTATCATCTGAGTCGGCTTCCAGGTATTTTTCCGGATTGAGGTCTTGATGTAAATTAATGCGATTAATTTATTCGTGCATAAATTAATATAATCTATAGAGTATCTCAAAAGTTTTTATGAAAATTTTTGTTATACACGATCCGCCTCCCCGCCACGCTTCCGCACCCGAATTCGATTCGGGAACCAACAGTAGGTAGCCGGGAATGTTATTATACGAGATGGAATCTATTCCTTCTTGAGAAAGAAGTAGATAAATAATTCTCTTGAGGTTTAATTCGGTACTTGGACCAATAGGAGCTCCGATTCATGAATGTGTTTTATGAATCACTGTCCATTAGAGAATCAATGGTACTCAAGGATAAAGATATAATTAGAGAGGTTAACGGATTTTACCTAGCTCTAATTATGAATTATTTATGGAAGATCGATCTATATGCAGTGACTATATCAAATGGACACTTTACAGTTTACAAGTAATTTATATCTATAATTTCAAGAGTGCAATTCCAAGTTTATAGTGGAGTAACTATTGGAATTAATAGAATTAATTAATTAATTAAAGTGTTTAATTAATTATTAATTTTATTGGAGCTCAGGATTATAGGTTCATTAGTCCCCACATCGTCCTAGTAATTCTACAAGACACAAAGGGAAAAATAGAAATTTTAGAATTACGAAATTATAAAATTAAACACTCAAAAATAATTAATTGAGAATTAATTATTATTTAAATAATGTGATTATTTAAATTTAAATTTGAACACATCTAGATTTATCCATTTAAACTTATTTGATAAGTTGTTTAATTTAGAATTTAAATTAATTTAAGTTTGACTTAAATTGGAATTTGATTTTGAGTCAAAATTGGACTACAGGATAAATGATGATTTTCTCTTCCTTCCCTATCTGCAAATTGGCACCACACAGGGATGAGAATTTCCTAAGGTGGCCAGCCACACTAAGGATAAAGGAATGTGAGATTTTGTTTCAAATTCAAATAGGAGATAATTGACAAATTTTATCTTGGAGATAGAGATTAGATTCCTTTTAGAAGTTTGACTTCTACTCTATAAATAAGATAATAGTAGAAAATTGTGGATACAATTTTAGAGACAATTTTTGAAACAATTTTTGCCCTAATTTGAATAGGGTGGCCGAAATTATTCTCATAGAGTGAGAGGGAACATTTTTCTCCGAAAAAATTCAACATCATGCATGCGTTGGTGTTTGTAGAAATTCGAGTGTTTATTCTAACCCGTTTTGTCTCATGTGTGCCCACACACACGTCTTCGTAGATTCTCAGAATTGACGTGGAAGACATTGGTTTTCTAAACACAAAGCTTTGGAGCAAGAATTGATCGAGGTCAAAGAACTCAAGTTATCATCCTAATCGGCCGCCGGGTATTATTTGTTATTGAGTTCTTAATAAATAAATTAATGTGATTAATTTATTTGTGCATAAATTAATATAATCTATAGAGTATCTCAAAGGTTTTACGAAAATTTTTGTTATACA